CAGAGTGCTGCACGGTGCTCCCCTCTCTCCACCAGTCCCCTCTGTTCCCTGCAGTTTTCCTCTAGTGGGTGTGGGTGTGGGTGTGTATGGGGGGATGGGGAATATCTCCAAGGCCAGGAAAGTGGAGGTCTGGAGTCTCAGACTCACGCCCCCAGCATGTCCTCAGCTCTTGCTGAAATTCTAACCAGCCCTGCATTTTGCTGGGGCTGCAGCCCAGGATTGCCCCTTGGGGGTCACTCTCTCCACCCCCCGACTGAGGAAGAGGCCCTTTTGCAAGTAGCCTTTATATTTCAAAGACAGTCTCGGGGATCAGGCCCCTGGTCGAAGGCCTGTGGCCTGTCTGTCCTGTTTAACTAATATGTACTGAAGCTCGCTGTTTGTACTGGGCATGGGTGGTGCTGTAGGGACACAGAGAGGAGAAAGGAGTTTTTAATTCAGTGGGTGGCAGACTAGAGCAGCTTTGGAGTTTGCCAGAGCCCAGCCTGAGGCCTGGCTTTTCCACTTGTTGGCCCCTCTGGCTGTGTGACTTATAGCTAGTCACTTAACCTCTCTGAGCTGAAGTTTCATTATCTGAAAAATGGGCAGCATAATGAACCGGCCTCACTGGGTTCTTGTGAGAATTAAGTAAGAGTCGCTGGTGCTGTGCCAGGCATACTGAGCGCTTGGTAATGATGGAGCGCCAGGGGCAGTGGCGGTGATGGTGGGGGACTCGGTGTGGAGGGACATCCCAGGAGAACTGGGTAATGTGTGGAGGTGACAGGGCTGGCCAGAGAAGGACCAGAGCCTAGGGGGGCCAGAGCCCAGGCAGAGAAGCAGTGGCATGGGAGTTTGGCCGGAGAGTGTCTGGGGCTTTGAGTGACAGCTGAGCTCTGTGCAGACCTGGCTGGGTGCTGGTTTTGGGTGGGTGAGGCAGGGTCTGTTGGGGACACGGGAACACCTTAATCTTTATGTTCACATCACTGGTGACTTCACTCTATTCGGCTTCTTCTGTTCTTAATTCCGTGTGAAGTCCAGGTTTTATACGGAGAGTCACTGATGTGACAGTTTGGTGGTGGGTCGCTTAAGGCATGCAGTTTGAAAGACAGTGGAGTGGAGATAGAGGAGGGACCTACAGCGCAGACGGCTTCAGAAATTTGCCCGGTGTGGTCAGGGGCTCATACCCAGGTCTGCCTGATGCCGAACCCTTCCTCCACTCTGCACTGCAATGTCCCCAAGCACTCCAGAGGAGCAAGATAAAAACAGGAGCCGGCATGTCCCCTCCGGTCCCCTCTGACTTTAAGCTGGACCGCGGCTCGTCCCTAGGTCAATACCTCAGCCTGGACCGGGAAGCCCAGGAGCTTTGGCCAGCGAGCCCTGGCTCCAGCTGTCCACACACCCCTGGTCACCTGCTCCAGTCACAGGGCTTGCAGTGTGAGCAGGGACAGCAATCGGCTGAGTGTATCAAGGTTGAGAGTGTTCTCCATTTGACTCATCTCCTCTTTTTTTGGTGGCTCTGGTCTAAGGAAATAACTGTGGCTTTAGGAGTAAAGATTTATGGATAAAGATGTCCCACCAGAGCAGTTTGTTGCTGATAATGAAAAATCCAAAATGACATAGATGCTGTGAGTGGGGGAATGGGTTGGAAGTCTTGCCACTTCTACTTGATAGTGTGACGCCATTTGCATGGCATAGGGGCATAAAAATGAATTTAAGGGATTGAGGGGGTGAGTGATGGTGAGTGGGGGGCCTTCTCTGCAGGGCCCATCATGTGTCGAGCTGTTGACCATGTTGAGGATATGACGCCCTGCCCGGTCTGTTCCCACACCTTCACCCACACCTTCATGGTCCAGCCTGGCTGTTGTTCCTTGGGGGGCTCTTCATGGCCTCTCTGACGGGCCGTGCAGGAACCTTCCCTTGGCTGATGGGGCACCTCACGCCCAAGAGGGGGGAGCTGACCTCTGGCAGCTGTGAGGCTCCCAGCTGGCTGCGTGCTGATCCCACCCGGACACAGCCCCCAGATAAGTTCCAGCTTAGTGGCTGCTTGGAGCATTCCAGGGACATTCCAAGTTTCTGGGCTCAGTGAAGGACTTAAAGTTTTATTGTCCTGCTGAGAATAAGGTTCAAAGTGCTCAAGGCTCCCATCTGGAATCACTTCCAAATGTCCCTGCAGCTCAAGGCACAAAGTTCTCCCCTGCTGAGCTGCCCGCAGGAGTCTGGCTTCATCATGCTTGCCTTTCTCAGAGTTTTGGGGCTGCCACTCAGCCCTGGGGGACTCTGCACCCCAAGACGTGGCCATGGCTCCTCCATCTTTCATGGGCAACAGGGAGCAAATCCCCTTTGATCCTTTAACACGTAATCAAGCCATGTATGTCTACAGAGCACACCATGTGCTCAGAACCTTTTAAGCTTTCTCCATCTTCTCAACGACTCTGAAGGCATTCCAAGCCCCATTTTACGCCCAGGAAGCTGTGGCTCAGAGAGGGGCGGTAGTCTGCCCAGGGTCACA